TACACACATAAGCACATTACCATCGTAACCGGAGATGAAGCCACAATAAAGGCATTAGAATCGTCATCAGGTCTCAATGTGTAAAACTCACTTGGGCAACTGGTACGAACAGGAACAAAGAAAACAAGATTGCTTCGGAACTTGCTAAGGCAGGGACCACCTAGCAACCACTGACCAACCAAGAATCTGCTTGTGATATATCTCATGCCCAAGTTAGGGTAGCAGTTGGGCAGTGGATCTTGGAACAACACAGAAAGTACTGGGAGGAGACACCGCAAGTACATACCGCAAAGCAGTTGGTGGGACCACCACAACCAGTACGTAAAAATGAACTGCTTGGTCTCAGCAGGCAAAAAAGTAAGGAAGATAGTGGCATTTTTAACAGGACACGCCCCCTGCAAAAAAAACACCCCTTCAGGATGGGCCTGAGCGATCAATCGACCTGCAAGGGTTGCAAATTAGAGGACAAAACTACTCTGCATGTTATGTGTCACTGCACGTCATATGCAACAGGTAGACGAAGACTCCTGGGAGGGGATACAATTCCACCAGACCAGATCATGCAAACTTTCCTCAAGATTCTTTTGGAATTCATTAAATATATAGGGATAATGAGGGAGTAAAATTACTAGAACACAATAGGACAGAAATGACCGCGGTGCAAGGCCAAACACCACCTCGGCGGTGAGGAAAGGGTTTTAGTGGGTAAACAGCTTAGCTGGAGTTCCACACAACCCAGAGCGACAGACCACCAGATCTGGAAGTGCATAAAAGAGCATTTCCCAAACCTCACCGGGAAAAAAAGGGAAAAATCAAACAGACTAGCGTGATTTTCTCATATCAACCCCCGAATTAGTTAATTATTATTCCCAGAAAAACAGCATATCAGTGGTAGAATAGTTGTAGTGTTAAGAATTAGAAGAAGAAAATTTATCTTAACTGTACGCGTTAAACGATGTAATGATAAGTTTGAAAAAAATTTAACTCAACCAAATGTCTCGCAGCTGCTAATTCGAATTTCGCGAAAAAAATTGACACTTCCAAAAGGTGCCAATTTTCTTATGTTGGTAACAAAGCACCATAGGCTAGCATGCAGGTTGAAATAGACAGAGTCAATCACACGTGTTTTGTGGTTTGTGATGGTATTGTGGATTGAAAAATTTGCAACAACAATAGCAGTTTATCTTGACCATAACGTCCGTTGTCGGACGTGTGGTGTCAACTGCGACTTTTCAAGCTGGTGAGTTTTTCGGGCTTCTACTTCGTCGTGAAAAGGTTTTTTTTCAACGATTTCAACGATTTCAACTATCTAAAKGACCAATACGGTCTTATGGCTTATCTAGTTTCGCTATGGATGAATTGAACAGTATGCTAACAAAATTGAAATTGTGGGAAGATCGCGGTACGGGCGGTGTGTTCCCGAAGTTCCTGAAAATCTTTCCAGTCYAGCCAAACGTTAGCTCATTACCTGTTCAATGATATCCTCAGAACTAGTGAAAACCCGAAAAACCAGCAGACCATCCTCAAAGCTATCGTGCAACTTAGCATGTGAAATAAGTTACTGGAGAGACAATATACAACCGAATCTCACCGATAGTCGAAGGCGTACTCGTTCC